TATTTCCTCATGTGTAAATAATTATTTTAAGTACGAGATCGAAATCCGAACGAAAATCATATTTTCATTTAAACAACTCAGGTATCTCATGTAATTATTTTAAAATACCTCTTATTAATTAACAAAATTAACGCAAACCCTGGAATTAATGTAAAATATAGCGTCCTATGAGATTCTTTTAGTAGTTCTAGAGTTTACTGAAACAGATTAAGTCAAATGTAATTAATATTAATAATATAGTCGTTAATGACTTTAGCCATAAGGATTCATTATGGATTTATAGAAGACAGCATTTTCAAATTAAAGCATAGAATTCAGTCTGACAATGATGGCGCATAAAATGTTAACGATCAATCCATTAAAATAACGCATTTCCTCAGTATTTCCTTTGTACTAGCTTAAGCAAATACGTTAGCATAATACAGTTGCTTCCGGAATTTTTAATTTACGCGCCGATGCGATGCTTCAATATCCGCCCATCGTTCTACCCGAATCGACTAAAACAACCAAGATTATTAAAAAATCGTTGACAATTTTATTTCTTTCTTTCATAACAGCGCATTGTTCTTTTTCTCTGTTTTCCCCGAAAGCCTTCCAAATGATAACTCTATACTTCAGCCACTTAAGATGGCGAATGAGGAGCGTTCTTGCGTCAACTATAAAATTTTATGCATTACCCATCTCTCGGGTGATTTCCCCGCTGTCTAGCGCAGCGCTGGAACTGAACGATATCAAAATATCACTATGCACCTGGTTTTGACAGCAAATGGGTAACTGACATACCATTGGATCCGAGGCAAATGGTCCTGACATTCGGCGAATTTTTAAAAATATGTTAAGTATATTGTATTCTTGCTTACAATATTTGCACATCTGCTACACTACGCTGCTGATATTCATAGAAATTGTATTTAAAGCTATTCTATATGTCCAATACTTACTTAACTTTAAATACATTGTAGAATAATGTTTAGTTACACAAGAAAAGTGTAAAGAAGAAACAAAAGAGCTAATCGCAGCCGGCGCGCCGTCTCGCATGGGTGTGCGAACGAGCCCTGCGGAATAGAATACGAGCCAGGAAAACTTCGCCGGCTTTCCCACAAACTTAGTTCTGCCAATTGGTTGACAATATAAATACCGAGCTCTGTGGAATACAGCCAAATGACCTTAAAGCTAATATTAATTTTCTTAAAAATAGAGTTTAATAGTTTTATATTATCTATTTTTATTAGAACTGTGAATAAGAGAATGATTATGTTACGCTATGTTTTGATAAATTTACACTAACGAATGCAATTCAATTTTTGTATCTTAAAAGGTACAGTAATCTTAATAGTACGTTACGTTAGTTACTTATTGACTATTTCAATAAAATATCAAACGAATTGATCATTGTATTCCGTTTGATCGGACTACACACGTGCCCTAATAAATTGCTTCAGACCGATCGACTTTGTGCCTCCCAAATGGCTCGGTGTAAAGATGTCCTTGCCGCCATTAGCTCAGTAGTATCCGGCTTTGGCTGAACCCCTTTGTTCGTCGCCAATTAGCCGTAAGTTAGCGTTTCCCGCACCTTAGTGCTCGGAGCCGCTGCTACGCTATTATTGCTTAATAGATTATGGCTTACCGTCGCTCCCCCGCTTAGCCTCGCGCTTTGTCTCTTGAGAGGCTACATAACTTACGAATATCTGAAGTACAGAATTTCCCTCGTATAAATAATTTCTCTGCGGCTTGTCTGCTCTGTAGCACGAGAAGTCATTTTTCACTGGCTTCCGCGTAGATATTTGTTAGAACTGATGGCCCAAAATATTTAAGATCGAGAACAATGTCTCTGTACAATACAAGAGTTGATGTTACATTTGTTTTAATGATAGAATAATACGTACGTCGTCAAAACAGGGTAATTAGCCGTGGATCTTTCACTCGTGGCCTTGTCTCGTCGTGAATAGCTGAGATGCCAGTTATATTTATTTTAAGTGTCATTAGTTTTGGAAACTTGACATCGAAACCGTTCAGTCTTTTGTGAAATGCTTCCATTAGACTTCGGTTTACTTAACAAAGATAGATGCATTATGTTAACATTTTTCAGACGCTAAACTTTTATATATTAGTATCGTCTTTGAAAGATTTATAAAGGTTTAGATGTTCACGGTCATTGCCATGACTGTATCTTATGACATTCACAAAATATAAACTCTATTGGTCACAGATAAGTGAAGCAGGTTGGTCAGAAACTATAACTGTTTTCATGACTATGAAATTTCAAATTTTGGTTTGTGTTTTATTTCCGCATGTTTTAGAATATTCTAATAAATAGCGATATCACAGTGTCTTAACGGTTTAATATTTATATTCTAAAAACTACGTTAAAATGTTTAAATTATTAATACTAACCAAAAAAAATACTGTTTTAATTTTACCATAAAGATAAATAAGTTTTTGTTTAAAAACTTATTTATCTATTAAAATTGCTATAAAAGCCACAGACACATATCTACGTACTCGGTAGCAACCACACGGCAGCGAAAAAGAATAAAAAGGTGTCGACACGTCCGTGGGACACCGGACAGGTCCCGTGAAATATGGCCATCCCGGCGTGCCGAGCTATCCTGATCGTGTGGACACCCTGTAATTTATTTATAACCCTGTATATAGAATGCAAGAGTATTCCTGCTTTTAATAAATGGGGTAATAACTGATTTTGTATTATTGAAAGCCTGTGGTCAACACATTTTTCAACGCTGAGATATTTATCATTTATTTAGCATTATTTTTCAGGTTGTAATTAAACATGTTGCAATTAAATATATTTCTTGCCTGTTCTGTATGTTATAGAACTTTTTATTCTTAATTGATTACGAATATAATATTTATTTTATCGTAGCGACCCGGTATTTGATTTAATTTACAGAAAACATTGACGAATTCACCCAAACCTTCCGAAATCGGTCTATTGATGGATGAAAAATTTACACTAATAAACAATAAAACTCCATACTTTATACGTCTACTACTATATAAAGCCCTAGGAGAATCGATCATATCATATGGTCTTAGTAGCTATGGACGCACTTTTAAATCGCACTTGGACAAAATATATGAACTGCAGATAAGATTACTCAAAACAATAGTTCCTATTACCATTAAAAAAACAATATAAATATAACTATCACGATCTGTTTACATACTGTAAACTGATATCCATACATAACAAAATAAAATATACTATACTGTATTAAGACAGAGAATCAACAGATATCCAGACGAACGAACATAACCCGCGGTGTTACTAATAAAAAACTAGTACTCCCAAGGTTCAATAATTTCTACGGAAAAAGAACTTCGAATTACGTAACAGCTAAACTTATAAATAGTATGCCAACTAATCTTAAAACAGAATTAAATATAAAAAACATAAAATGGAAATTAAAACAATATTATACACCTACTTATTAAATTATAATATGAATAACTAATAATATACACTTTACATCTTTTTATGAATTGTGATATAAGTATTTGAAACATCCTATATACGAAGTGAGTAAATCTACGTACACGACCGGTACTGATACCTACCCTCAATTATTTTACCTCAACTGAACTCACCACATACCCACTCAATTACTAATAATTGTTCAAATATTATTCTAGATTGTATTGCTTGTTTACTAATCATAAAAGCATTTGTTGGCTGGTTTAAAAAGTAGTAAAGTAAGTTGTAATAAGATTTGTATATGTCATAAAACTAGCAGATAAGTAATTATTGTATTATATACGGCCCTGTGTGCGCACAAAGCATTCATGCTTTTTAGTACACAGTCATAATTTTGTAAGTCATTGTTATTTTTAAATTAAATAAATAAATAAAAATAAAAAACCACATCTGTTTAATAGTTTTTGAAATTATTGGAAATATGACATACGTATGCGGCAAGGGACTTCTTTTATAATATAGGTATACTCTATTCCACCACTACCGAATTTGGAATATAAGTAACATTTGGAATGGACAAGTTGCCGGCCTACCTAATGAGTAGTTCTGCCTGTCACTTATATGTACACAAACATCATCGTAGAGGTTACAAAATGCATTATGAAGACCGTGGTATCCTATGAGTCCTATATTCCTGAACTGTTATGCCTCCTTACTTTGTACTTTCATTGGCTTATCTTACTCTTCAAAACGAAAGTAGGCTGCTAACGGTAGATTGAGGTATCAGCGCAGAACACTTTGTACAAAGTTTCCTTTTGACTACTTATGTTTGTGTATTAAAGTTGCTGGCCGAAACTAGTTATACCACAGTATAAGTAAATATTATATCAGAGGAAATCCTTTACGACGTCCTAGTGACTGGTGAGACTGTCTAATATTCTCATGTAAATCTTAAACATTCCAGCATATTTCCTTTGACCTGAGGTTCCATTCTCCTAACATAACAGTTACTTCGAAAATGTTAACAAATCATGTATACAACGCTCTGTGTAGTACGAGAAATAAATTAATTAAAGTAGACAATGCTATCTAGCTCTAAATTAAACTATGATTATTTTATAGGTACTAGATGTCTGATATAAATCCTTAAATACATTTCCCTATGCAATACACACATAATTTAAAAACAGAATAATACAAAAATGATGGTATGAATCGATTTTATAATGTTATAGCCGATCATTTATCAAGTCTACCTTAATAAATAAGTAAGTTCCTCATACGTACGACATGCCGACATACGATTACGAATGCTCAGGTGTTGTAGTTTCAGACTATTGCTTTGACAAAGCGCTCCTTTCAGACCTTGCCTTACACTATTGACAAATTCTTTCCTTGATTGCAGGAAAGGGTTCCCCTAATAAAATACCTTCAGCTAACTTATTGCGATAGGCGACTGTAACTTGGATAAAAGAATGCCTTTTCGCAGCAGTATTTTAACCGTCGTTTTGTGTTACGCCAAGAATTTATGTTACTTTTTAACTCGATCCCTTCATTGTTACAGACTGACGCCGATAGCCAACGAAACTCCGGTGATTACGTCCACAGGCGATCGGTAAGTTTTAGGACTAGCACACATTTCACTTTCAAATGTGACTCACTGTACCAAATCCATCAATTTTGCAAATGACCGACCCGAAAACTCCATCGATTCCATCTCCAATAACGCGCGTCACCAAAAAACTTTAAGCAAATCCGCACAGAGTCCTTGACAGATTCCTTTTTGTTTTACGACCCGCCCCGAAGGTCTGCATTGTGTACACGGCCTGCGCATAAAACTAGGATATCCAATATCTCGCCATCTGCCTTCCGATCATCCCCAAAAATCACTCAAAGTGCACAAATTACGGAATCTCTTTGCTGCGTTATACCCGTCAAGTGTGAAGGGGGCAGTTTTCATAAAACCCCGGGGACGTCGAATTCCAACGAATAAAATTCCGTCTTTACGACGCACCCGGAATGTATCGGAATGTTGCCCCCTGAACCGTGCCAGGACTAATTATACGACGCGATTCAATCGTGGAGCGCGACAAACTTCTTTTATTTTTCTATTTGAACAAATCCGTCGATTACTTCTGAGGAGGGCCTTTTCGCTTTGAAGGCTCAGAAAAATACATAAATTAGACGAGTTTTCTTTGTTTCTTTGTATTGGATGGGCAAAAGTTTTAAAATCTTGTTTAGGGTCATTATTGTTTGTGAATTTTTCGTTGATCGCGAAATTGGTGCGTTCATATTGCGTCGCGGACGTTCAAGGGCGATCGTAAAATCCGGCATCTGACGCGATGGCGACGGGGAGCACCTCCGACCGCAAATAATAAAAGGTCTAAAACAAAGGGAATAAAAGAAAGTCCCAAATAATATTTACACCGCGCCCTCGCTAGGCGGAAACAGAATGTCGGCTTAAATTTTCGGGGTTTTTCCCGGTTTTTCGGACAAACTTTCGGGACCTTTCCTTCCTGACTTCGTAACGCGAGTTTCGTAGCTCGATTTTAAGTTCGCGCCTCGGTTTCCTGTTGTCTTTTGTATGAAATTATAATAATAACACAGGAAGGATATTATAAACGAGGAAGGAGCTGATTTCTTTCGAGTCAGTTCGCGTATGCTTTTGTTGCTCTAGTAGAATAGCGTATGAGAAGGCGGAATTCTAAGAATTAGCTGGCAACAATGGACCGCGCAGACAAACAAGCGTTGAAAAGCCTTCTAAACTCTGACATGTTTGTTTCGGCACTCGTGTACGCCCCTCCCCCACCGCCTCCATTGAATGCTACCTCTTTCGCTTTTAGTGAACACATCTGCGCGCAGCTTTTAAAGGGAAAATATGAGACGCTATCTAGAAACGGTGCTAGGGTAGAGATAATAAATAAGCCCAAAGGAGCTCCTTTTAATATTCATATCTATTTGCCGAGTGGTCATTAATTATGGACTTTATGTTGTAAATGCGAAGCGTTACTTTCGAATTATGTTAATTGCTTCTTTGCAATTACGAATTTTATGCCAAGTTTAGTTTTTATTCTTAAAATGGTACGGAAATTACTTACCAAAGAATGGACTAAAATAATCGATATTGTTTCCTATACAAAACTTTAGGATTGCACATAGACAATAACTATGTAATATATAGGTTGGCTCTGACTCAATTTTTAAATGTACACAACATATTCGCGTATCAAGAATTCGAGCCGATAGTACTGTAGGAATAGAGTTACCACATGCTGAAGTTGGATTGCCAATTCTAAAGAGAATATACATACCTCAATCGCGCCATATATAGTTACTTGAATACCACATACAATAATACCAACATGACGCATGCAATGTTAACTAAATCGATTTTTCTTACGATCCGCTCCCTGCGGCACCCCACAAAAACGTCATTTGTTGCGCCGATACTGGTACAGAGATAAGTTTAATTATAAACTGCGATCATAAATTACTCGGACAAATTGCTTTAGCGCGATACCATCGTGTTATCTTAACATTTTTGTTAACCCCCGACAGGACTCCATTCGTCAGATAGCATGCCCGTTCACCGACCATTCTAATAAACATGTCCAATTTTAAAAATAAACATACATGGTTTTTTTTTCACAGTACTTATTAAAGCAATTGTTTCTTGTATGCTTTAGGGTTATTATAATTTTGTAATGAATTCCAATGAAGATGTGTGTATGCGCCATATATATATATATATACCAAATAACTATGTATTAAAAAAATAATTTGTAAATAATGTAATATATCATTGTCTCTGGAGGCTCTAATATATATAACTTGTGATATTTAATGGACATAATCTTCAAAATAAAATTAAATCACTGTCAAATGAAAGCAATTTATCAAAATCATTCCAAACGTAGCTAATACAGTATTAAAATACAATATTGGCTTAAAAGCTAAATTTTAATGAAAAGTACACAATTAGTACGAGGTCTGAACCAAAACCATTCTTTTAAATTAAATATAAAACGCCATTATTATATTAATTAACGGATTCTCACAAATTCTTACAAAAATCTTGATACATCGTCCATCTACCATAAATATGCTAGGGATGTGACAAACTGTTTAAAAACATTATTATTTTAATATTATGTTTGTTAACTTAATAACCGTTTAAATATGAATATCAATATTTTTTTGTAAGGTATTATTTACGGCCAATTTATTTGGGCTCATTGACCTTTTTTATCACTACTTGGTATTGTGTTTTAGACAACATTCCATGAAAAATTCGACTGAAAACATTGTCTGTAAAAAACCATTCGTGTATGTTTGAGAATATTAAAATCGATTAGAAGTGTTTTATCGAATAATACCTAATCGATTGTTTTCATTTCTAATATGTCTTCTCTCTTGTCCATTTCGCGCGACCCCCACCGGCCGGCCCCAATCGTCCCCTTCAAAGTACAATACTCGTAACTAACGTCAAAAGGATCGCGTTCAAATGAGGCCTAAGATACCGACAGTGGGGCCCCAAGGGACCATACATCTGTTCGTGTAAATCCCCTTTTAAAATTCGATTCGCTGCAACTCTCGCCCTTCATATTATCCTGGTAGCTGTTTGCGTGAGCCGTCAACCAAAATACGATTTTTTTTCTGTCCGCCTGTCCAATTTAAATCCTCACGCGAGCACCTAATCTTTTATCCGTCATTGTATTCCCTTTGCCTTGCTCGTATTTATTTTATTGGATATCTTTTACCTACACTATCAAAATTAAATAACTTTTATTCTTTAATCTACTTTTAAATTTAATTACTTATATAATCAGTAGTCTGTTGTATCTGTGTAGAATATTTTTTTAAATCTGCACGCGGTTATTTAATTAGCCATTACACTTTGAGTGCGGCGGTAAGAAATGTATTTATTTATACTCATATATATTTTTTATGAATGACTCACCCGCTTGCGCTAACGGTTGTATGCTGACGGGACATCAGTGAAGATGATAAGATGAACATGAGGTCAGATCAATTACCCCATCGTAACAAATTCACCAGGAATTTATCATGATGGTTTCCAAAGGAAACCAATTGGAGGTAAATCTGACAGGATACTTCAACAGTCCATTAAGTGTGTGAGTTTGTAAATGTAGGTTAATCTCTGGATCTACTGAACCGAAAAAAAAATAGAAAAATCTTCTACCAATAGAAAGCCATAATGTTTGTAAGTGTCATAGGCTATATATTAACCCGAAAAATGAAAGACTTTACCGTGGTAGTCGGAAATATTTTCCGTCCAACGAATTTGGCACGAGTCTGCTAGTATTTATCTACTTATTGTTTAAACAAAAAAAAAAGGTTTTCAATTGGTCTTAAAGTATTCGATTGTCGACAAAAAATTTTGATGATGCTTTTTACAATCGATTTTAAATATTATTACACTTTCGTCACTCATTAACTCTCTAATTTCTTATCTTAATCGTATTTCTTTTTATGTCAACAAAATGTAGTTTATCTAAATATTGTAATGAAAGATGAAATCTAATATATGGTTATTTGAATAAATATAAAAATAAAACTTCTTTTGTTGGCAAACATTCGAGATGTAGGTATGTATGTAATGTGGTGTTACTTCGAACTACCAAGGGGGCGAAACCGAAGGGATGCAGTATTAGGGTTGCCGAAAGTCAGTCAATTATATGATATGAATGTAGGTTGAGTTACCGTTTCTTAAGCCTGCCATTGACGTCCAATCCTATGCCGTTCAAATTGGTAAACCACGCATAAATTTTGTATAGGGTGCGCCGATATGATGATTATTTTTGTATGAATGAAAAATATTACACCCTGTTCTCTGTGTACATGCTATCATGCGATAACGATACGACAGTAACTACCATTTAACACAATGGCTTACATACCTTCTGATGGTAACGGCTTTGAATCCCGAACAATACAAACATATCTTAAGTGTATAGCTATTTAAACAGATCAAATAATTCTAACATTTTCTAACTACATGGATGTATTATTGTTATTTTTCTTTCTACTAATTCAACAATTAACTTCTTAATTAAATATTGCATAGATACTGTGTATAGATATTTATTTAATTTTATGTTATATTATTGTATGTGCATGTTATGTATATATATATATATGATATATTATTATTATTATTTATGTTTATTCATTCCATCATGCGCCATTCACCAACTTCTGTTTTTCTCCTCTAACCAAAGGTTGTCTGCAAGAGATCGCTTAAAACCGCCTTTTGTACCTATATACTATGTATATTCTGCTTTATTTTGTATGTTTATTAAAGGTGCAATAAAGAGTTATAAATAATTAAACAAAAGGTACTATTAAAATTATTCAATTTTTTGTAACCCATAACTGACAACCCTATCACTGCCGCACTACAGAGTAAGTAGGTACACTAAGACCCAAAAACTCAATTCCCTACCCGTATTTAAACTGACTATTAGAACAAATGGCTATTTCTTTACCGTCGTTCACTTGAACAACAATACGTCTAGATGTTGGTAACCCTACCGATGCCCGATTGGGGTTCAGTAGGACCCCGGCTGCTACTATTAGTTTCCCTGCCCGTAT